TTACTTCACCTAGACCTGAGAGAGGGGGCAGAACTGCCGGGATATGTAGAAAATTGGAAAGGTTATGAAGGGTACTTTGATAGAGATTTCCATTAATTTTGGTGATTTGTGATTTGTCTGCAGTGATCTGTGTACCCTATTTGATGTGTTTTATGCATTGTGTAAAAGTTTTGATCATCTAAAGTGCAATCTTTATGAATCGTAGTTCACCGAAATCTTATTTCATTTTCTCTTGTCCTTCATTGGCCTGAGTCTGTTTGAACGTTTACTGTCCTCTAGCCAGCGTACCCCTCTGCCATCTTAAAGTTTTTGAGTTTCTCTTTATTTGTCCTAGCTTCTTTTTATGTGCTCTCTTTGTGCTCTTGATTTAGTAAGTCTCTGAGATCATCCTTTCTTGAGGATGGCAGGAGAGGCTCTGGCAGACGTCCCAGGAGACCTGAAACAGCCCCAGGTGTGGCCATGTGCTGCTCATTCAGCCACTTGTTAGAGGTCAGTAGCACACCATGTGCTATATAGCAGAAGAGGCATTTTTTAGTTGGTATGCTTCTATAACTACAAGTAACTATAAATCTAGAAGCTACTTCTTTAACATTCTCTTTGTCTTTTAATGGCTGAACACTTGGGCAGTTTTGTATCTTTTTCTGTCTGGGAGGGTGTGAGACTTTGTAGGATACAGAAATAATTTTATAAATACTTAACATTCTGAAAAAATGACGTAAGAAGCAAAACCCCATCCAGCTCCAAAGTTTCTCAGACGACATTGTTGCCTTGAGATTGGCAGTGGAACTTGTCATGGTCCTTGTTGCTGGAATATGTTGGGTGCCATGTGGGAAAAGAACACAATACAAATACTTTTAAATTATGCTTTTTGTAGATTTTTAGGTGTGATCTCATTTGTTATTCACATAATATGGCATGTTGGCGGACAGGAATTATTTCTTTCCCCAGTGAGGAAACAGGTTTGGGGAACTCGAGGCTTGAACAAGGACGTCCGTGGCAGATAGGTGCACCCCAACACTTGCAGGACCAGAGGCAAGAGTCCCGGTAGAGGCCTACGTCCCATATGTTCCAAATACAAAGTTATAAATCAAGCTAACAGTCTGTTGAACAGACTAAAATACAGATATCCAAAATTGCATAAAATGTCTTACCTTGGTAAACTTACTTTCCCAGTGATCTGGAAGGCCAGTTTAACTCCACGTTCCTGCCCTTTCTGGAGCATAGGCAGACGCTGGCCGGGTAGCTCGGTAGGTTAGAGCATCGTCCCAGTATGCCAAGGTTGTGGGTTGAACTCTGGTCAAGGCACATGCAAGAATCAACCAATGAATATACAAATTAGTGGAAAACAAACCTATGTTTCTCTCTCTCTCAAATCAATAAATAAAAATAGTGGAAAACAAACCTATGTTTTTCTCTCTCTCTCAAATCAATAAATAAAAATTATAAAGCCTGTTCGGTGTCACTCAGTGTTTCAGTGTTGACCTATGAGCCAGGAGGTCAAGGTTCAATTCCTGGTCCTGGTCGGGGTGGGGATGGGGGCACATGCACAGGTTGTTGGCTCAGTCCCCGGTGGGGGGCGTGCAGGAGGCAACCAATCGATGATTCTCTCTCATCATTGATGTTTCTGCCTCTCTCCTTCCTCCTTCCTCTCTGAAATCATAAAAAATATATAAAAAATCATGAAAAAAAGAAAAGAAGGTGCAGTATAGGTATTGCCAGCCCCTGGCCTGTCATTCCTCTCTTCACCCGCCCATCCGGGATGGTGAGGCACCTCCTGTGCATTCATGTCCAAGTTTGTTCACCTTTTCTGCAAATAGCCACTTTTGGGCCAGCCTTTCAGCTTTGGAGTGTACAGAGGAGGTGCCGTATTGTTCCCCTGTAAGGTCAGATATTGAAAAGAGGCCCACACTGGGGCCTACTGGGCAGAAAGTTCGGGAGCAAGGCTGTAGGCACGTCCCCTTGGCCTTGCGGACTCCTCACTCCATCCTTTAATCAAGTCTGAGTAAGAGGCCAGTAGTGTGTGGGCTGTCCAAGGCACGAGATGGATCCATATGGACTGTTTGGTCACTTCAATCACATTATTAGTCAGTTCGGTGAAAAATAAAATTGCTTCATTTAGGATGCATTTAGTATGTGCAGGCATTTGGTGCTGGAGATGTAGCTGTGATGGGGGCTTTGAATCCTATTGGGGAAGGGAGAAAATGTACATGTAAACAATTACAAATAATGTCCAAAGCTTATCAGTGTTATGAAGAAATAACAGGATAGTGAGCGATCGATCGAAGGGTAGGGCAGGGGCTGATGGTCAAGGAAGGCTTCTGGGTGGAAATGGCATTTGTGGTACGAATGCCAAATGGTTGCAGGAAGATCTCAGGGAAGCGTGTTCCAAGCAGATGGAACACAGGGGTGTTGGCCATGAGCTTGGGGCCTCAGGAGACAGAGGTTGACCGTGGAAGCTTGGTGTAGTTGGTTGGGGAGACGGAAGGGTCTGGGAGGTCACTGGGGCGCTGGAGGTTCGGTAAGGGATTCAGATTGTGTTCCAGTAGGTTCCTTGGGATGATATTAAACAGGAGAGTGATAGTAAAACTTCTGATGCAATTCATTACCTAACAGTTAACTCAATGTGGCCTGTCAGAATTTTAATTATATTCCAATACCAAATGAATCCCCATGCCATACACATCCCCCGACTCTTGCAATAGTTGAATATCAGAGATATATTTTGTCGACATTTTGAAGAGTTAAACATTGGTGCTCCTGGCAAGTAATGTGAAAAAAGTGGCCATATATTTAGCTATCACGTTTTATGTCCTTTGCTAAAAATATAGAACCAAGAGAGCTCTGAGCATAAAAAGAGGCATGCTCATGGTGTTGGTTATTTCAT